AGCTCTGCTGAATTTGCACATTAAAGTCAGATTAAAGGTTGCTACAGCATATGTGACAGAAGTGTACAAAGACTGCTGTAGCTCAAGGGGGGACTGCGTTAAATCTGGTAAATTGCATCAAGCGATGTCGCATGAGGTAATGCCAGTTGGGGCAAAAGATTATGGTTTGTATGATTATGATTATGTAGCCCTACTCCTCAATCCTGCTTTAGACTGAACAATTCCCTGCAAAAACATGCATACCAGCTGTCACGGATCCCATCACTTTGCACTTGCAAATTTTGAGAGTTCATTCAGCTGCAGTAAAATGTAACCAATGTTATCCTGGTAAAAAAAAATGAAAAATAAAAATAAAATCACATCATTGACTTTTAATTTTTTATTAAGTAAGATTCAAAGATTTATTGTCATAGAAGATGTTGTCCAAGTGTTTGCATTAGAAACAGGACTGTTGGGGAGAACTAGCTGTTACTTGCATGGCTTTGAGCAGATTGATTCTACTCTAATATTTGCCCAAGGGGGTTAAACTAATTTAATACAAGGAACAGATGGAAAAACCTAACCTAGCTTTCTCCAAAAAGAATAAATCATCTTATCAGTGTCTCGTAATTTTGATATTTAAAAAAATCATTTGTTTAATTTGTGCACAAACACAACTGTAAAAGCAACAAGGTGTGATTTGAAGATTCACGTGTTGGAGACAGGACACCTGTTCTACCTGTGTTCTAATCTTTACTCCTGGCTTCATCTTCATAATATGCAGACAACTCAAGCCTAAGTCTCACTAACATGATGCATGAACCAATCTGTGAGTGGTCTGGTGTCCTTATGGGTAATGTAGGCACCTGTTGCTAACTGGAAAAATTAAGTGGGGGATAAAAACTTTTTAAAAAAATTGACCTCTGTGAATTTGACATTGTTATGGGAGTTCAGTTCTAAATCAGTAGAGATCTCTTAAATAGTTTTCCTTTTCCGTGGCATAAATGCTTTTTCAGGGAAACACAGCTGCGAACTGGATTTCAAACCACCACAACTCACTTGTTTCTGTGATACAGTTTCTTAAGATTAAAGGTGTCTCCTCTCTCTGAAAGATGTTGCTGGAGGAAGAAGAGGAAGAAAGAAACGCAAAAGAAATATGACAAGGAGATGAAGAGGGGAAAGATAAATGCTTAATGAAGGTATTTAAGGTGGAAATGTCAGTTCCAGGTCAGGTCTGGGGGAACAGTTTCTTTGCTGCCCTGCTGATTGCAGTAGAAATTAACACTAGTCTTCTTGGCAGTTGCCAGGTGGCACACAGCCAGTTCACACATCTGTAACACCTCGTACACATCTGCTCACATCCCTCTTAGGATAAACATAAATATGCAAATTTGGCACAGCATGAGCACATTGGGTTTTCAAATGTTTGCATGTCCCTGTGGCTCTACCTGAAACCCTGTTTAAAGCCAGATGTTTGGCTCAGTAAAGATGAGAGGATGCAGCAATAAAACGCTTATTAGAAGAAATCTTACAGCCACAACAGTACGTATAATTTAGAGAATATACAGCAGGAGTTGCTGTTGAAGAGTGGGGAGGGGTCGGGATCAGGCGGCTAATTCTCTGTCAGACATTATAAATCTGTTTCCCTGCTTCTGTCTCTCAACTGTCTGTTTCACTCAGGGGTGTGTCGTCGGTGATGCTGCTGCTATAAACACAAGAACACAGCCGAGAGAAGTCAACACAGCAAGAAGAGCTGCAGGAGGACATCGCTTCAAATAGGTATGTTTCACACTTTATGACACACTGTAAACCACAGTAATGGTTTCAGCAAACGGGTGGAATAAGAAGACAATTAGTATTTTTGTTTTGCGATTTTAAAATGCCAATGATTTTCAAAGTATATCAAACTACATTCTTCATATTTGCCCTAAAATCCATCTGAATGTGGGTTTTATCTGAGGTAAAGAGTAACCTGATGTGTCCCCTGTATCCCTGCTAGCAGTCTGTTGGCCTCAAGGTTTAGCCAGCTGTGTTTCTGAGCTCCAGACTGGAGTCCAGTAACAGCCAAATGGACTAGTGCACTAAATCTAGTCCGCTCTGATTTTTAGCGAGCTTAAAATAAGCCACAAACAAACATCATATAGCAGGGTCACTAAAAATAAAACACAACAGAAACTGCAACAACAACAGAACAGCTGAGAAGCCAAACAGGATGTCAAATTTAAATATGGCAAAAGTTTTTTTATGTTAAATTTGTCAGATTGATGTGTTTAATCATTATATTTTACAAGCTACAGTAAAAGTAAAAGTTTTTAAAATAAAGTGACAATGTAGATAAAAAAGCACACAACATGTCTGATGTGCTTAAATAGAAAGACTCATATCTTTAAGTTTAATTATTTATTTAAAGGTGCCCTACACTAATTTCACACATAATAGAAAGTTTGTGATGTAAACTGGAAGTGCAGATTGGAAAGAAGTGGATTAAATTGACTCATATGGGACTAAAAGCAACCTAAAATATTTTCATTTTGAGTCTCTCACCGTTATGAAAATACAACACTAAATTAGTCTCTTTCTTAAGACTGTAATGGTTCTTATGCCACAACTAGATTTTGAGCCCATGGAGAGTTCATCCTCAGTCATCCAGCCTGTCCGACAGAAACATCCAGGAAAAACAAAGGAGGTGGAAGACAAGAAGCAGGATGGAAAACTACAGGTGGAGCAGGAGACCACAGACGAAGGTAATTCTGCATTCAACCCACAAGATGATACTTATATCTGCTCAAACTGCATCTGTTGTGTTCTGCTTAGTCTACGTTTTGGGAACATATTCCTATTTTTCTTCAAGAATTATAACTCTGATCTCTCTAACCTGACTCACACTCTCCTGCCAAGCATTAGCAGATCAAAAAGCCATGGCGGGTGAGGCTCTGGACAGGAGGAACATCTGGGAGCCGAGTGTTTATTACGCACTGGGGAAGGAGTCTTTCTATTTCGCTGGACACGAGATCAGCATCCGCGAGTCCCTGGATACATACGGGGCTCTGATCTGGCCTGGGGTGAGCCCTGTCATAAAAAACAGCATCTGCACATTCACTGGCTCGTAAATGTGATAATGAGACTTTTATTCTATAGGCGATAGCTTTGTGTCAGTTCTTGGAGAACAACCAGCAACAAGTGAACCTGATGGACAAAGCGGTGCTTGAGATTGGAGCCGGCACTGGTTTACTCTCTATAGTGGCCAGTCTGCTTGGTAAGTGTACTTTACAATTGAAGATCATGGTTTTACATAATATGTCTGAAACTTTGTCCACAAGAGTTTCACAAGTCTTGATGGTAAAGTCTTCAGTAATGACATCACACATAATATGATTTTCCAGCTTGAGTGTCGTCTTGTGCGAGTGCTAACAGGAAGAATTAGTTGTAAATTTAAGTAATAATCAAATTAGTAAGATGCTGTACAATGCTGCGCTTCTTACTCGGGACATACAAACAATTTTGTTACTGTCAGAGTGTGGTGCTTAAGGAAAAGCAATAAAGTTGTGTCAAATCAGACAGAATTCAGGAAATATGTTGTTGTACCATCCAAGATTTTGTTCAGATTTTGTACTTATTTGTTATTTTGGACCCAAACCTAAGTTCTGTGAAATCTTTTGGCTGATGTTTGAGGATTTTATGTTTCCAGACAACATAGTAAACATTTTAAGTGTTTCATATCTCTAGAAGTATAACTCTCACAGCCATGAAATTTGGTGAGGACACAGAAAAAAGACATTTTCAAACAGGAGTGGTATTGGGGCCACAGAAATTGTCTGCAAGTGCAGATATATGTGGATGTATCCATATTTTCTATTAAAAACACAGTCTTTGGTTGACATTTCCCCAACTTTTGATGCAGCTAACATCAGTAGAATCTGATGTGTGACAGGTATTATAAACCAAGGTTCCATTTTTTTTTTGCTATTTTGAGATATCAAAATGGTGAACCGTACTTATTCATATGACCACAAAAACTGGTGTGCAAAAGACTATATATTGTCATTATATGTGAGAAGTTACAAGCAATGCAACTTAACAATATACAAGGACTATTTTGCCTGTTTGTCTTTACATATACCTGAAATGGACACTGAACAGAGAATCTGATGGTAAGTCAGCACACGTCATAATAACACAGCCTGTGTGTATGATGGTAAGTGGTGGCTGGAAAATATTTTACAGAACTTAGTTTTGGGTCCAAAAAAGTCAACTCTAAACAAAATCTGAGGCAATGAAGCACCATTGCTATCTACAGTGACATAGACTGACCCAAGTGTTTATTCCCTTGGATGCAACAATATGGACTGAATATTCTCATATTTTCTATGAAATTAACATTTTAGCTGTGTGGTAGACGTATAGAAAAAATCATGGTGCAGCTAAAAACACTGGCAATCTTTGTTAGGGGACCCCGAACATCCACCCACACAAAATTTTTGCATTGCAAACAGGCCAGCACTTGTAAAGATATCCTGTCATCCTTTAGCCTCCCATTAATCACACAGTGGAAACAAAAGTGTTAATTTATTCCCCATGAAATTAAATGCCTTTATACAAAGCAAACTCAATGCAAGCTACAGTACTGCGCCCTTCTTTTTCTTTTCTATTCATCCTTCTATCTCTATCAATAGATGTCTCAAAGAAAACATATAGTTAGAGCCCAATTCATTCTCAAATACTTGAGCATAAGCATTACTGAATTTTAACACCGACCTGAATGTGTTCTCTGTCTCTAAATATGCAGCGAGTCGCTGTAAAATTATTCTGTTTCAAGCCTGGAGAGGGGATCAAGGTCCAAGTAATGCTGTTGATGATATAACCAAAGTGGCTCTTAACATTCAACACCTCTGAAAAGACACACAATTGCATAAATGTCACACGAAGTGAGCTCTGCTATGCAGATCTTTTAAGAGTTCATGTTTTTATGTTCATTTATTTATTCATTTATTTGTTATTGTCTATGCAAATAACATTAAGAGACCAAAGCCAACCAATTTTTAGCCTGTTCTAGGCTGATGCTAAGTCATGTTTCCATTTTTTTTCTTTCTGAAGATGTAAAGAGGTTGCAGAGATAGTTTCATTTTAAGAAAGGTTCAGTATATTCTAATTTGTTGTCAATACAGAATATACGTTATTTTGTACAAATTATGTCACTGATTACTTTCTTTAATTAAATCCTGTATGGTCAAGATCCATTTGATTATGTTTTGTGGTTGTTTTGAACTTAGAGGCAGAAAGTAAAAGCTGTAAAGATATGAAGATGGTCTCTTCATTTGGCTGAACACAAGAGTCTTCATGCACTGCCAGCATCTGAGGATCTGAAGACTCAGTGGATCACTTTTGTTACTGATGTCACCAAAACAATCAGAAAGTTATAGTGTTAGCACGATGTGTGGCTAATGTAGCGAACATTATCATTAGCTTTGATTGTTGGCCCACAGGTCAGAGCTCTCTGGAAATTGTAATGCTGAAGGATATTCAGAGATTGTGGAATCTGTAAGGCAGATTTGAATGGATAAACAAGAACAAGGTAGTTTAGTGAGTTTTCATGTCGTCTCTGAAGCTTCAGTGCCATCAGTTTGCTTCTCTCCTGCTCTCTGTGTTCACATAAACTGCATTTAAATACAGCTGCATTCCCGATAAAGCTATTCTCAATACAATATTTTTCTGTTTCTGTTGTCAAACAGAAGACGTATAAAGCAGCGACTAAAACGCAGCACATTAAGACTACATGTTAACCAACAATCACTTCAGAGTCATTTCCAAACTGCAGCTCTGTGCTAAACTACTGATTTTATAACTTCAGCGTTTTCTGACAAACTCACCACACACAAGTTAAAAACAACTGTGCTTAGAATTTGTCTATATTTACATTTAAACAGATCACTCAGGCAGAATTTAGAAGTGATAGAAAGTTTTGGTCTCACACACTTATTCACATATATGTCAGCTTCTGTTTAGATTGCTCAGCATCAATCAGAGATGCAGAGAGAGTTTTCTTCCTGAAGTTATTGTAGACAGCAACAGATTAGCTGCATTTAAAGCTACAGACACTAAACCAGCCTATTTAGAGCAAAACTAAGTTATACAGTCATGATAAAATGAAGCATCTTTACACTATATTGAGCTAATAAAAATGGACGCAGTTGAATTCTGGAGACATGTAAGACTTTCACTAACTCGCTCTATATGTACTTTACACACTGTATGAGTTGTAGTGGTACTATGTGCAGTAGCCAGAACTACCTTCGCTGCCCTGCTGGAATCATTCTAGTGCAATTTTCACATCAAATAAACATACAATATGTAAAGACAGACCACCAAAGGCACCCACAAAATGCGTCATTGTCTTTTCACGTCTCTGTCTGTGGGGTTTCTACTTTACCAGGTGCTTGGGTGACGGCTACTGACCTCCCTGACATCTTGTCTAATCTGACCTTCAACCTCCTGCGCAACACAAAGGGCCGCTCCCGCTACACCCCTCAGGTGACGGCCCTCTCCTGGGGTCAGACGCTCGAACGAGACTTCCCCTACCCATCCTACCACTACGACTACGTGCTGGCAGCTGATGTGGTTTACCACCACGACTGCCTTGAGGAACTGCTGAAAACCATGCGTCACTTTTGCCGACCAGGAAGTCGGACGACGCTGCTGTGGGCCAACAAGATCCGCTTCCAGTCAGACCTGAGGTTCACAGAGAGCTTTAAGAGCAGCTTTAACACCACGCTGCTCACTGAGCTGCCACAGCAGGACGTGAGGATATACAAGGCCACAGCGAAGTGATAAAAGAGCTTTAGGAGTGGCAGTTTCCTGTGATGTTAAAGATTTTGAGTTTCACTTTTGAGGAAAAGAGGAAATTGCGTTTTCCTTTTGCTGATTTAAATCACGTAGAGAAACGTGTGGTTTTGCTCTGTGCTTATACAACATTCCTGGACAGTGTCATAACCATTATTAAGCAGAAATGAAGTTCCTGACTCAAGTTTCTATTTCAATAAGCTATTTTATTTGCCAGTGCTTTTTAGACATTTGATATTTCTGAATGTATTCAACTTTTGTTCACCAATTTGTTTTTCAAAATAAATCATATAGCCGTAAACGTTTCTCCTATATTCATATTTGTCTCTAGACAACATTCATCAAAGGTGCTCTGCTCTTGGCTTTTCGTAAAAAGAGTCAATCATTAGCCTTGAAATAAAACCTGAAGAGAACATTTTCCACAAACATGAAATTTTGCATTTCTGATGTCTTAGCTTTTGGTCATCCAACAGCTTTAGATATTAAAAACTAAGAAAAAGGAAAACAAAAGCACTTTCCATTAAATGGCATACACTCTATAGGAGCATAATGTAGTAGAGGAAAATAAACATCTCTCATGTTTAACATGTGACTGACTCTTAGCACCAAAGATTACACGTAACTAAAAGCCTGCTCAAAAATTGGCTTTTTAAAAATATATTTTAAATCTACAAGCATTACAATAACTTAGCACATGCACACACACAAATTCAACATATTGATGGTGAAGGAGGAGGAGGAGGAGATGAAGGGGGAGAGGCTGAAGGAACCAAAGAGGATTAATGTAAGAATTAAAATCATCAACACCTAAATCTATACTTAAGTCCATTCCTGGCTGAAAATCCACCTCCATTCTGCTCTTGCTGTTTCCAGTGTCCACATATAAAAGTCTTAAACTGCGATCAGAATGTTCAGAGGAGACTTTCGTCTGCTTCGACTCTTTGAGTCTTCATGCCGCATGTTTTAAAGGAATGAAAGTCTGTACACTGTATGGTTCATATATTTTCAGAGTGTTTGAGTGACTCTACGATGTGCAGCAAGTCGACGACTTTGCTGGCTGCTCTAGTATTGACTCCCTGCGGAGGTCGTTGGGTAAGCTGCCTTCGGGGCCCCAAAGGTTGAGCTCTCCATAGATACCCATGTCGATCATCTCCTCCTGCCAAGGGATGGGGATGTTGCCCGAAGAAAATTCATCAAAAAAGGTCTTGTCGGGATCCTCCAGGGTCACCCCCTTCACCGAGGAGAAAGCGCCGACATCATCCAGACTTTTAGCGTACACCACTTTAGGGTCGGGGACGAAAGGAGGAGGTAGAATACCTGCAGAAGTGATGAATGCACTTTAAAAATCTCATCCCATGCTCAGTGGATTAAAACCTGAATGATAATGAATACATTTAGAATGTAGATGATACCTGCATTAAGTTTCCTCCAGTTAATGTCATTGAAGAATGGGTGTGCTCTGATGTCATCGCAGCAGTTGTTCTTAAAACCCATCCTCTGGTCCACTTCTTTGGCCAGCAGCCCATCGCACAATGACTTTGCGTGCTCACTGAAATTGTCTGGATATTCCACCTTCCTGTTCAGCATGCGCTCCTTCATCTCCTCACGGTCAACCTGTGCAGAAGACCAACAACCTGTCGTCACCTTGTCTTCTCACAAAGTCTGCTTTTGTTGCCTGAAGTCACACATATAGTTGAAAAACCAACCTTCTCCCCCCTGTTTCTGAAAGGATTCTTAGCAGCAATGAATTCAAACAAGGTCACCCCCAGAGTGAAGTAGTCCACTGAGGTGTCGTACTTTTCTCCTTTCAGCATCTCCGGTGCCATGTACCCTGCAAAAAAATTCAACAATGACAAAAAAGGGCAATAATTAGATATGAAAACTGTGAAATTACCCTTTTAATCATAAGCCTGCAAACTGATTTCTCAGAAAACACAGATGAGACCCACCTGGCGTCCCGGCGTAGCCTTTGGTCAGTGTTTTGCCTTCTTTTAGCTCCACAGCAAGACCCAAGTCAGATATACGCACGTTCCCTGTGTTGACGAATAAAAACGAATCTTAATCAGCCAATAATTACACATGGACGATGTAAAATCCACCTGTGTTTACCTAAAAATGATTACCGTCATTATCTAGCAGCACATTTTCTGGTTTGAGATCTCGGTAGATGATCCTCTTCTGGTGGAGATGCTCCATACCCTGGATGATCTGAGCAATGTAAAAACAGGCTCTGGGCTCGTCGAAGCCGGGGTTGTTCTCATCCACCAGGTAGATGTGGTACCTTCAGGGAACAGCAAACAGATAAGTTTGGCTCTGTTATGTGTAAAAGGTATAGAAACTGCACATATTTGTAGTATTATGTGTTATGTATATAGACACAGCTTGCCAATATGTAGAGTAATGCATACAAAAGTCCTGTTGTTAGCTGCCATTGTGCTGCTGTTTTGTCAACTACTGTCTGCAAATGTTAGGATTCGATTTTTAAGAAAGACAGATGTTTTAAAATCAAGAAATCTCACTTTAAAGTTTATTTTATATATTTATTATCTGACTCAAAGTGGCTGGTAATTCATGACAAGCTACACAGTGTTATATTTTTTGATCAAATTGAATTAGTCTCATGTATTTTAAGCATGACAGCTAACATATTTGAACTGAATCTGAACACGTATCCTCCCAAAAAATTATACAGAGATACTTCAAGTGACTGATGCAGCTTGTCTGATGTGTCTGTCAGCAAGAAAATGTGCAAATTATTACAAATAATCCATCCTGCTGTGATTAGGGATGAATTGTGACACGTTCGGGAGATTATTAAATTCATTCCCAGCTGCCGTCACAGCTGACCTGAGGGAAAACATTCCTGTCACATCAGTCTTCAGGTCGACAGCACACCTTATGTTGGCAGTGAGGATATTAAAAGTTACTGCAGATAAACAGGGTCTGTCTGCCAGATTAACTAAAGCAACGGCATAGTGGTGAGGGAGGAGAAACACGTGCTACAACTGATCCTCAGCGAGCTGAACGTTCATGCTGGAGATGTGAGAGTTTTTCAGAATGTGAAGTTACTTGAGGTCTCCTCCGTTCATGATGGTCATGACGAGACAAAGCTCTTCCTTTGTCTGGAAAGCGTACGCCAACGACACAATGAAGCGACTGTGAACCTTCTCAAGAATTCTCTTCTCCACCATGGCACCCTACAGGAGAGAAGTAGAAGACAACTTTGACAAATAATGCACAAGTCAAATCTTTAAAAAAAGAAAGAAAACCTACGAGGAGGTTTCTTCCATCAGTTTGAGAGGAACTGTGCTGTATGTTTCTGTGTCATTTGGAAAAGAGGTTAATTTCAAAGGATGACCTCAGACAAGTCAAGGGCAAGATGTAACTGTGCCAAGGAGTTCTCTTGAGAAGAGCTTTTCAATAAAGCCCCCAGTAATCACTCTATCCCTGTCTCAGTGTTTAATACTGCAGGCTAAAGCTAAACGAGACAGAGGCAGGGACAAAGATGATTAGCACCGCTGCAGCCTGCTTCAGTGCAGGACACTCTCTCTGAAACCTACAGCCATGCAAAATGCCTTAATTATTCAAATCACGACACACTAAAAATCCTTTTTAAGAGTCCTGTGATTAACCTAAATCTGGTGCAAAAAAACAAAACCAATGCTGCTTTAATGTGGAAGTAATTACGTAAAGTGAAGCTTTCTGAAGAAGAGCAATGTATTCAGCAAAACCTAAAACTTACAATTTCATATAAACTGAGATTATACACATATGCACACTACAGTTCTGTTTATAAAGACTCAGAATAACAAAAAATCTTCCCTTTAAAGTTAGTTAATGTTGAGTCCCTGCAGCATGTGATTCTCTTTGACTCATTCTGGTCCAACAATTTTTTCTGATCAATTTTATTTTTACTAAATATTACAGAAAATACAACCAACAATGAATTCTTATGTGTTTTTGTGGATTAAGCTGCAAACAGGTAAAGCAGTTTAAGTAGGCCAAACTCTACCAGTTGCTTCATTAAAGGGATTTGATGCTTCGATCAGGTACAATAATTCTCTCACCTCATAGCCTTTCCTCTTCTTCAGCCTCTTCTTGTTGAGTTTCTTACAGGCGTACAGTTTTCCAGTGGCTTTCATCTGACAGGCAGACACCTCCCCAAACCCACCTTTCCCCAGCACACGGAAGTCCAGGAACCAGTCCGCATCCATGGGCTGCATCTCAAGCCATTTCCACTGCACGTACCTCTTCAGGTACATGCTCTCCAGGTAGAAATTGTAGGGGGCCTCTCGCAGAAAGTCCAACGTCGAGGCCAAGGCTGCAGCAAACAACTCGTCCCCTACGGCCTCCAGACCTTCCTTCACCTTCGCTATGATGTCCTCAGACAGGAAGGGACAGTAGTGTTTGGCAGTGGGATCCAAGTACCGCTGAACAATCTTTGAAGCTTTTTTCCCCCTTTCAGAGTCCTCTGCCATGTCATAGCCCTCGATGTCCTTCCACAAACGACAAGCGCCATGATATTCTTTATTTGCATCCAAGAATTCCCTAAAGAGACGCTTGCCAATCGGCTGTTCTACGCAGATGGTGTCAAAGGCCAAATCTAGGGTGTCCCTCAGGCCTTCGCACACGGTGATGTGGGGCAGTTTGAGGCGAGCATGGTACTTCTTATCCCGAGCTGCTGCTGGATTAGAGCCGTCGATGCTTCCACGGGCATTGATGTACGCAGAATTGGCTACCACGGTGGTCAGTCCTCCAATATCCATGTTGAGGGAAGGCGACTGTTAGGCAATGCGAAGGGAAGACATTGCAAAGAGTGAACAGAGGCAGAGGATGAATCACTGCTAACTAACGTGCAGGGGTGAGGAAGGGAGAGCAAGAGTGAGAGAACAGGAGACAGATCACAGAGGAGTGACAGAGGAGAGAGAAATGGGACCTGGAGAATGGTGTCTGAACTAGATCCCAGCACACTTTGAGCGCCGTAACACCCTCATTCACACACACACACACACACACGGGAACGCACACACACCTGAGTCAACACCTTTCGATAATCCATTAACACCCCAATGCCCCAGACAAAGTGTGCGAGAACATACTGGAACACAACACAAGCAGCATATGCAGGAATGTCAACTGGCAAATTACAATTAGCAGTTTATACAAACTGTAATCAATCTGTTGCTGCATATTAAAACTTGAATAAAGAATATTGTTTGTGATTAACAGGAAAGGCCCACTGATAGCGCTTATGGTTATGCAATAAATGCACGGACAATATAAATGTGAGTAGAAGTTGTTGTAGAAAGATCCTGGACATAATGACCATAAAGAAATCAAATCTGCAAGAAAATTCCGTGTTGTCAGAATTATTTCCTCAATTTCAGCTCAAGCTAATGTGAAGTAACAGCAGTCTAAGTTGAATCAGATGAGAATCTTCCAGAGCTGCAGTCTTTTAGTACTAAATTACTGCTTTGTGTTTCTATCACTTTGCTGCAGGTCGGCAAGGAAACCAATAAAACCCTAGAAAGACTGTCACTTTGGAGGATGCTAACTTAATTTGACTAAATCAGATTGTTGAGGCATCATATTAACTTTAACTCAAACTTACAACTGCAATTTTCCACAGGAGGTGTTTTTTCCCCCGACCATTTGCATCACTTTGTGGCTGTTATGGAGAGAAGGAATGATTACAGCAACCAATCAAACTTTCTGTGTTCAGTTGAAACCAGAAGTTTACATACACAGTATAAAAAGACATATAACCTTTTTTTCTCACTGTCTGACATTAAATCAGGTTAAATTTTTCCTGTTTTAGGTCAGTTAGGATTAACAAAAAATTATTTCTATTTGCTAAATGTTAGAATAATGAGAGAGAACTTCTTTTTAGAGAATTTTTTTTAATCACTTTCTTCAAAGTCAGAAGTCTACATACACTAAGATTACTATCCCTTCAAACTATTTGGGAAAGCCCAGATGATGATGTCATAGCTTTGGAACCTTTTGATAGGTTAATTGACAACATCTGAGTTAATTGGAGGCACACCTGTGGATGTATTTTAAGGCACACCTCAAACACACTGCTTCCTTTTGAGACAACATGGGAAAATCTGATTTTGGACCTCCACAAGTCTGGTTCATCCTTGGGTACAGTTTCCAGATGCCTGAAGGTTCCACGTTCATCTGTTCAAACAATTATATCAAGTATAAACACCATGGGAATGTCCAACCATCATACCGCTCAGGAAGGAGACAGGTTCTGTGTCCCAGAGATGAACTGTGTTGGTATGAATTGTGCACATCAACCCCAGAACAAAAGCTAAAGACCTTGTGAAGATGCTGCTGAAGCTGGTAAGAGAGCATCATTATCCACAGTGAAACCAGTCCTGTACTGACATGGGCTGAAAGGCTGCTCAGACAGGAAGAAGACATTACTCCAAAAGCAACATAAAAAAGTCAGATTACAGTTTGCAAATGCACACAGGGACAAAGGCCTTCATTTTTGGAGACATGTTCTGGAGTCTGATGAAGCTAAAATTAAACTGTTTGGTCATAATGACCATCGTTACATTTGGAGGAAAAAGGGGGAAGCTTGCAAGCCTGAGAACACCATCCCAACTGTGAAGCACAGGGGTGGCAGCATCATGTTGTGGGGGTGTTTTTGCTGCAGGAGGGACTGGTGCACTTCACAGAATAGATGGCATCATGAGGAAAGACCATTATGTTGAAATACTGAAGCAACATCTCAAGACATCAGCCAGGAAGTTAAACCTTTGGTACAAATGGATCCTCCAAATGGACAGTAACCCTAAGCATGATCACCAGATTAGCTACAAAGTTGTTTAAGGACAACAAAGTCAATGTTTTGGAGTGGCCATCACAAAGCCCTGATCTCAACCCAGTCGAAAAATTGTGGGCAGAGCTGAAAAGGTGTGTGGAGCAAGGCGGCCAACAGACCTGATTCAGTTCCACCAGTTCTGTCAGGAGGAATGGGCCAGAATTCTATCAAACTATTGAGAGAAGCTTGTGGAAGGAAACCCAAAACATTTGACCCAAGTCATACAGTTTAAAGGCAATGTTACCACATGCTAAGGAAATGTATGTAAACTTCTGACTTTGAATAAAATAGTAAAAAATTCTCTCTCTCTCTCATTTTTCTGGCATTCAGCAAATAGAAACAGTTTTGATAATCCTAACTGACCTAAAACAGATTTTGTATTATTGTGACACGCAGCTACATATGGTTCAGAAAATTTCACTGGCTGACTTTCACAAAAAACATTTTTATTAGTGCGTGCTCAAAGATGGGACTTTTTATGACGGCTGCATTTTTTTTCATATCCAATTTACTCACAACAGAGAAACTATCTGATCTACATGTCCAGTACTGCGGACTGATTCTCAATCAACGGCATGATGAGAAATAACAGTGAACATTTTCAGGGGTTTATAGCTATATTGAGATTGTATTTCAAACATAGCCTAAAACTTCTATTTGTGAAAAAGGGGTGCTGAAAGTGGGATGATGGGCAATTAATAAAATAAAAATTAAAAACAACTCCCAAGTATCAGGCTAAAATCTTCATAAATATCCACATTTTAGGCTATAAACATTTAAGCCAATTCAGAGCTAGTTAAGCAGAAAATTTCAGATGGAATGACATTTGGTCAGGTCTGTGTTATGCTAACAGCAATAGGTGAAATAACCTCTCCTCTTACTTCACATTCCCACATTTTAAAAGCAATTTCAGATTTTACCAAGCCCCTTCTGCAGCCACAAAAAGCATTCTACAACTTCTTTCCCCCCACATTTGCAGTATCACTCTCCAACACCTGTAACGACACATTGGTGCATAAAGCTTCCTTTTTAACATAAACCTTAAAAATGTAAAACCATCCATGTAAAGTGTGGCAGACTTTGAAGGGGAAAAAAAATAACTTAAAATGACCTGCACCAACATGTCAAGCAGCCAAAGGCCCAAACAGCAATAAGGCACTGAGCACCCTCGCAAACTTTCCTGTGCCTGCAGCATGCACTTCATTTTGGCTCTTGTCGGTTCTCCATGTCAAAAACATTTGGCCGGATCTCTGTTTAGGAAAAGGGCCCAGTCTCGATGTTGAGGCCTGTCTTTGTAAAGTATACACTAAAGTGAACCGCTGACATATGAAATTATGCCAGCACAGGATAAGAATCGATGACACGACCGGTAAAGCTTATGATCGATTGTTCTCACCTCACAGATATCCTCCTGTTGGGTTTCTACCATCTACAGCAGTTTTCTTGTGGCTTTCCTCTGACAAGCAGACGCACCTCCTCGAGCCCACCCTTTCCCCAACACGTGTATGTCCGGGGGTCACATGGAAATCCTTATTTTTTTTGCATCTCAGATCAGCAGAAATGTTTCAAGTTGTGCTATTCCTTCACCAGTTCTGTGCCATCTGCCAATTCCACTAGTTATAAAGAAACCTGACAATATATTTCCCAGCAACAAACTCACATGAAATGTAGATACAAACTTATTAAAACAATCTATATTTAATTTGCAAACTTATATTAGATTACAGAAAAGGTATTTGGAAGAGTCAGTACATGTGTTGCTCAGTTTTAAAAGGGAGATCTTTAAAGGGAGTACATAAAGACCTATACAACCACACATTTTGTTACATCAATAATTTTTGAAGGTCTATCTTTACCACTGGCCTCTAAAGGATACTATAAGCTACAATCGTAGGATTTATATACGTAATTAACAAACAAAGCTTATTTACCTATCAGGAGCCTGGGTTATGAGAGTCTTTACCTTGATGCTGCCGTTATTTTGTAAACACTACCAAGGCGTTAACAGGGCGGTGATGGAGAATTCCTCAACTCCGGATTACAAAAAAAAAAGAAAAAAAAAAAACAAATCTAGCAAACAAGATCAGGAAAGCAGCTGCCTACAGAACAGAAGGAAGCCAGCCCAAAACAATGGGGGATAAGAAACTATTTCAAATAATTGCCCAGGAACACAAAACAAAACCAAAAAAATAATAATAATTATCAACACATCTGATGGAGCCCCATCCTGGGATGCCATGGCAACTGTATTAGGCCATTCAGAATCCATGGTGTTGCACTAACACAGCATGTTAAAGCAGACACTTTGGCCATCTCGGAACATTAGATCATCATCGTGTCTGCCATATGCAATTGCAAAATAATAAGAATAACTATTCAAACAAGTACATTATACATTCTCCAACAGCAGTAAGTTTTACAGAGTTTTTTTGTTGTTTTCTTTTTTTAGTGGGATGGCTTATTGAGAAGTGGATTAGACATACAAAGACTTCAAGTGGCGGGGGGCCACAGACTACAGTTCCCTTGGACAACACCTCCCACCGAGCTGTGGTGCAGGTGCGCGTGATTCAGGAGCAGAAAAAAAAGATGGGTGCAATTAACACCGCTGTTCTTTCAATATTCATCTACACCCCTGAGAAAGCCAGACAGAAATACAGGCATAGGGAACAGGGGAAAAGGTTCAAGAAGCACACACGAAAGTGGACTAAATTTCCACGGTGAGGGTGGTTTGAAGGACTGTGCTTGTTGGAGTGGCGAGGCGTAGGTAGGTTAGTCTTCGTCGTCATTCTCGTCATACTCATCCTCGTCGTCGTCGTCTCCCATGTAAGACACTGGAGTTTCCACGCGAGACCCGCTGTAGTGAGAGTCATTTGAGCTGGAGGCCATGGTGCCATCAGTGCAACCATCACTGCAGGAAACAAAGCGCGA